ATTATATATAGGCAATGATTTCATACAACGGTTGTATCATAGCATAATGCAACCACACTTTTAGAAAACCATGTTTGTAGTATTTATATGACCCAAAATTTTACACACACTCTCTCTTTATCTCAATAATTAATACAAAAAATAAATCGATTTGAACCTTAGATATGGTCAAAATGAGTCCGCACCAATAACAATTCTAGACCTTTCATTAACTGAATTTCAAGATCTTAACCTTTGCAAACTCAAAATAATTTTTTTTTCTTTTTTTAACATTGTTCATCTAATAACAATAAATCCATCTAGAAAAATCAGAAAAGAAAAAATTCTTATAAGGCCTAGATCTAAGCATCTTATCAAAATAGACGGCCTATATTAATTTAGCTAAAAAAATATTTTCGAGGTTGTATTTTCAAATTTTTCTTTTTTTGTGATTATTTATTAGAATGAAAAGAATGTATATTTTAAAATTTGGATCAAACAAATGATCCTAACATGGGTTTTGAAGATTGTTGCATTATAATACTATATAACTGTTGCATGAAATCACTGCCTATATATATAAGTATATGATGATATCATTTACCTTTAGTACAAAGTTGTCACATTAATATATATACACATTGAGATTTCAAGCATGGAATAAAACATCTCTCTCTACTTAAAACTCAAAAAAAAAATCTCTCTAGATTGAGTTTTATAACATAGGATAACACTAATCTCTCTCTCTAATCTAGTTGTGTTGAAACAATGAATTTTACTCAACTAGAGCTAATGGTGGCAACGAGCTAAGGCCAAGCCTCATCCCGACCCTTATCCCCATAAGGTCAAGCAATGACGAGCCAAAAACAAATAAATAAAAAATAAAAAACATATAGGATCGGGTTGCATTGAACCCGGCCCTGACCCTAATCTTTTTACCCTCAGGCCACAGTTCGTGGTTGGGCCAACTGGGCCATTGCCAGCCCTACTCTGGAGCTTGTTTTTTTGCACTAAATAACAAGGTCAATGAAGGGGGATGGGGTCGGCTCATTAAGATTAGGACAAAGTTTATATATAGCCGAGGCTCTAAACAATCAAATTAGAGCCCACCTAAAATATTTCATTAAAAGTGGTGGTTTTGATGCTTAAATATCTTCAAATTGATCATCTTGACATCAAGATGCATGGACATGAAAAGGAAATGGATTTCAAGTTTTGGAAATAATGCACCTTACAATGCGTTTTGGACCGGAAATTTTCAATATTTTCAAGTTTTCATGGCTCGGCTCTCTACAAACAGCACCCTTAAAAATAACGTTTCCCAAAAAGGAAGAGGAGGGGTCTAAAACCCCGTGATAGGGTGTGCACTATTATTGTTGGGACCACCACATTTATCTACCACCTTATCAAACTATACATAATATCGACAATAAAAGGGTCTCCTGGTACGGCTATAAATATATCGTCTATTATTGGAAAATTACAAGGCAGCATTCCGCGTAGTAGATGAGATGAGATGAGATGATTTCATAATTTTTTTTTGGGTATTAAGACATTTACATTTGAAACACAATCCATTAAATTTTGTGCTCCTCCTTGGGTATATGCTCCACTGACTAAAACCCTATACACAATATTTTTAGGACTCCAAAGGATTACAGAAATTGCAAGGTCCGGAGTATTTCTCCTTTCTCATGTACCAAACGCTGCTTATAATATGTATATCAAAAATATATGTGCCTCAAATAAAAAGTATGTGTGGCTTTGTCTTCCAAACTTGGTCTACTTGGAGCACAAGTTCAGCATCTACGACCCAACACCACCACTAACAAAAGTGCACAAGCACAGGGACACATGGGTTGGAGCCCAACTTTGTTCAAACTCTTTATACTTACGAGGTATATTGCCACATGTGCCCCTTAAGGGTATGAGCCTAATATAAACCCTAGTTACAACATTTGAAATTCAAGATACAAGCAAACACTTAGCGGTCAGCCTCTGCAGCACTTACCAAGGTTACCCTTGGGCGTGTCCAATGCATCATGATGGGTGTTGCAGGTTTTTGATAGGTCCCTGGGGCATTGCACGTCGTGTATGCTTCTTGCTCATGTCATGCCGACCTTTGCACATTATCTGCTTGCGCCATCATTAGCCGACCAAGATTCGAATTCGAACATGAATGCTTGAAATTGAATCGAGTTTATCCAATTTTTATATGATAAGATCTAAGGGTGCGTTTGTCATATGGAGTTTTTGAGAGTGGAAGGGACTCTCCCTAAAATTATGAAAGATTGCTCTTCGAACATTTTTTATAAAAAGGAGGTCTTCCAAAACAAACATATTTTAACACTAAAAAAAAAGCTCCACTTTACAACTTCCACAAAATAATATCAAACATGGAAGTCCAGAAAGTCGCACTTATCAAACACGTTGTATATGTTTAGAAACTTAGATTTCACTGTATTTTAAAACAAATGCTAAAATGTAATTCCTAGTGAATTTCAAAATTATAAATTAGTAGGCCTTTAACACAATGTTCTAAAGGGAGATCCCATCCATGATTAAGTATGCCAAAGGATTTCATACTCTTGCGAGAGTATATGCTGTTAAAACCAATCTACGAGTAATTTTAGGACATCTGGACATTTGAACTCTTGCAGCCACGCATATTAAGCTCAATAAAAAGATTTCCAAATCAAAATCTGACAAAAAGTAGTGCCCTCAAGATCTAACAAAGACCCTTTAATTTCTGAAAAAAAAGAGCTCTCAAGATCTAACAAATACCGTTTAATTTTTGAAGGGTGAGATCTAAGTATTAGAAAACTCGAAGTTCAAATTTTTTTTCTTTCAGAAACCACCCATAGGGATTCGTAGGTAGCCCAAAATTTCAGATTGAAAAATCCTTCTAATTGAGGGAAATGGTGTACAGTACTGATCCCGCGGGAGCATACTGTACACGCTCGCTTTTAAGTCTTGGTTACTTCTAAGACCGTTTTAGAGGCGAAAGACTTGTTAGTAAACAAATCATCTGGTTACCTCTTTCGCACTGGGTAAAGACTTCAAGCACAACCCGTGTCAAAGTGAATCTTGGCCGTCAATTCGTACCGAAAGCCAGTAATTGAGAGCCCGTATCAAAGTGAAACCAGTAAGTCGTAGCCTGCAGTAACTTGTTGACTCGAGAGAAAAAAACGAGTTTTTATTCTTCTCCAAAGTTTAGTAAAAAGGAAAGGATCTGGCCGAGCCAGGCGGCGTCTTCTTTCTCCTACTTTTTTTTTTTTTTTTGCTTTTTTCTCCTCTCTCTTTTCTCTCTCCTCTCTCCTCTCCCTCCTCTCTCTCTCTCTCTCTCTCTCTCTCAAGAAGCTTCGCCACCGTATCTTCCCTTTACTTCGAATCCCTTCTTTTAACAGCCTGGTTCCACATGAGAAAGATGAGTTTCCTTCCTCTCTTCTCTTTCCTTCACATTCCATTTCTCTTCCCCGAGCTCTATTTGGAGCTTCCATGTCGTTTCCGTGCAACCTCTAGAAAACCAAGAAGAATCAGAAAACCCATTTCCCAAAACACTACGAAAGCAGCAAACATAAGAAGAAGAACCACGACAAGTTAACTGACTGCGGCACCAGAAGAGCGAGAAGAGAGCAAGGTAGAGCGAGAATGTCTGTGTCGTGCGGTATAGAGTGCGTAGTTTGCATAGGCTGCACTCGATGGGCATGGAAGCGATGCACATACATAGGCAACGACGATAGCAAGACATGGACTTGTGCAACATATGAAGAATTCGAGCCCATTCCTCGAATTTGCAGAGTAATTCTTGCAGTTTATGAAGAAGACCTTCGAAACCCGAAATATCCACCCTCTGGTGGCTATAGAATGAACCCTGACTGGGTAGTAAAGCGTGTGACCTATTCGGACACAAGGGTTCAAGCTCCACCATACTTAATCTACATTGATCACGATGCCAGAGACATTGTTCTCGCAATTAGGGGCTTAAACTTGGTCAAGGAGAGTGATTATAAGGTTTTATTGGATAATAGGCTTGGAATGCAGATGTTTGATGGGGGATTTGTGCACCACGGTTTGCTCAAATCTGCGACTTGGCTGTTAAATCAGGAGTCTGAGACGCTTAGGGAGCTGGTTGAGCGGCATCCTGGGTATACTCTCACTTTTTCTGGCCATTCTTTGGGTTCTGGGATAGCCGCATTGCTTACGATTCTCGTGGTGAACAATAGGGAGAGTATTGGTGGGATCGATAGGAGTAAAGTCAGGTGCTATGCAGTGGCACCTGCAAGGTGTATGTCTTTGAATCTCGCAGTGAAGTATGCTGATGTTATACACTCCGTTTTATTGCAGGTATTCTCCTTCTCTCTCCATACATATGTATCTGCCTACATCTCTATTTATCTCTGCACTCAGAGACTTCAATACTCAATTGAATTTTTGTTTCCTCTTTTATTGTATCAGCCATATTGGTTCTGGCAATTTTTGCTCAAGGAATTAAAAAAATCGTTAGTTGTGTGGTCTGTCTATCTCCTATACAGACATGAACAATTGAATTATTGTTTTTCTGTTTGCTGTATCCACTGTGTTGGGTCCAATAATTTTCAGTATAAATGAGGGAAATTGTCAATTATGTAGTCTATTCACTATAACAAACATAGGCAATTGAATTGCTTTCTCTTTGTTATTTGGAAATGTTTGGGTTCAAGAATATTTGTTTTTGGGAATGTAGGACATTGTTATTGGGTAGTTTGTCTATCTCCTCAAACATACCCAATTGGATTGATTTGTTCTTTGTTGTATCTACTATGTTGGGTCTGACAATTTTCATTCAGGAATCAAGGAATTGTTAATTGGGTAATAACAGGAATACTCCTACCTTACATGGATTATTGTTAGAAGGTTAGGTTTCAGGCAATGTTATGATATTCGGATTGAAGTTCTTAAAAATTTCCTGCATGGCGGGACCATAGCAATTTCTTGTTCTCTTTTACTTGATATTTCGAAATAGATATTCTGCTCTGTGTAGTATGCATAGTTTAATTCAAATCAGTGTATGATGCAGGAAATAGAGAAAAGAGGCAAAAACAGTTCAATAAACCATTAAAAAGGCCATATTTGTGGGGATCTAGTTTTCCTTGGACAAAGAAGGGACCCCAAATAGGGCTTGTTTTTAATGTTCACACCATGTTTTTACTGTTCACACACCAAAAATATGTTAAAAACCCTAATATCCCAGGGTCTTTTGAACATTATGGTTGTGAAGAAATATTAGGATTTCAAGCTCCAAAAATAGTTTATATTGTAACAAATTATCTAGACTATCCATTTCGCCCTAAAAATAAGTGTTCACATATCGTATTTTCAAAAAAAAAAAAAAAGTGTTCACAGATCACAAGATTTGTACATTTTTTGAGTTTCAAATTTTATTGTCGGTGTTGAAAATTGTTTTTAGAGCTATCATGGAGATTTCCGTTGCCAAAAGTGCTTTCCGGACAAGGATTTGAGGTAAGGCTTTATTTTGTTTTCATAAAGCCTAGGCTTTACAGAAACATCATCCTAAATTAAAACATAAAAAGTCCTTAAACTGCCTCTAACTTTAATTAAGACACTGGAAGTCACTAAGAGATTGGAAAAACAGCAACAAACTAAAAATAAACTCGTTCAAAAAATGAGCCTTCCCCTCCTGGATCTCTGTGTGACCTTAGGATGTGGATCATCATAAAGGGCGTTGTCAAAAGATGGATTGATTCAATCAAAAGGCCTATGAGAACCGTCTTGACTAGTTGAAAGACTATCTGATGCATCATTCTCCCATTGTTGTGAAGAACTCTACCTCGAGTTCGTATCTTCTTCTATTACTACTTCGAGTTCGTGGTACTCAAAAAGATCAACAATTCGAGGTCTCAATCCCAGCTGGAAGGTTAGGCATTACTCCTCATCTTCTTCAGCACCCAAAATAGTATGAACTTCCAGTTATTCAACTTGTTGTCCATAGGATACCTATCCTTGTGTAGATAAACCATCACCAAATCTCCCACATTAACGAGACTTGAGATCAAGATGTGCCATGTTATTGCACCCCTTATAGAAATTGGGTCAACCATGTTTTGGACCCATTGGGAATTTCCATACTTATAGTACATAAGGACAACATACTTGGTCCTTAATACATTAGAGAACACTCTACCATGAATTTTGAAGTGACTCATGATTAATGCTGCATTACCCCCATGATTTCCTTCAGCTCGCACGTAGTAATTAGATATAGGGTTCTCCACACAAACTAAAACAATGGCTGAAGTTGAACCTTGATATCAAGAATCATGTAATCTACCATTTGACGGCCACCTTCTATATTGAACTCACTAGCTAAAAGATCATAGGAAAATCTCACCAACCCTTGGGCCACACCTCACATGATACCCAATATTCAGGCAAGACATCAAGAGAAACAACATCCTTACTGCCACCGTCATCTCCTTGATTTCCCTTGTCTTTACTTTGTTCTTCTCCACAGATAATATCACCCATTAAATCATCATCAAAGATAAGACCATTGTTAAAGATGGGATCACTATCAAAGACATGATGAACATCTCCATCTAAAGATTTCTTGTCAAATATTGGATTACCAATGAAATCACACCGAACATCAAGGACTTGGCAAAGAAAGTTCCTTCCCAGTACCTCATCTACTACTTGGAGTGTAATCATAATGCACAGATCACCACTATGGTCACTAAATGTCACTTCAGGGTGACATCTCCTTGAGTACTTGCTGTCCTCATCATAAAACTCCTCAGAATGATTAACAAACTTACGATTTGGGCACTGTGATGAGACATGCCCGATGGCCAAATACTTGACGCATTTGGTGTTGCTACCGGCATGCCTTCTAGGTCGCTCGCATCCCGAAACAACCCCTTAATGGCCTAGGGCACCTTGCAGATTGGTCATTCCAGCAATGTGAGATGTCAAACCTGCAGCTCTCAAGCTGCTTTTTCACGTTGGCACAGTCCATTCACATGGCTAGCAATGGACTGCTCTTCCAGCTCTATCACATCATTCGGACAGTCAAAAGGTGAAACTCATCTGTGTATTCGTCCGCTGACCTAGCTCCTTGGCGCAACTCATGCATCTTTTGATATGAAGACTGTAAATAATTTTCAGGGAGAAAATTTTCCTTCATCTTTTCCCGCGACACGAGTTTATCTTTTCCAATTATCTCATGCCTTGCTCTCAGTTGTTCCCACCATACCGGAGCACTTTTCTTCAACTTAATGGCAATAATTTTAAACTTTTTATTCTCTGGTACATCCTTGTAGTCAAAGACCCTCTCTATTGTGTTTAAAAAGTCTATAAAGTTGTCAGACTAGGACTTTCCTTCAAATTCAGGAATATCTACTTTTATATCTATGGTTTCTGAGTGTCACCTATACCTCCAATCATATTCCTCTTCACTCGACTCATCCCCTAGAGCACGATCATGAAAAGGGTTGTACGCAATATCGTCTTGGACAGACAAAACTTCATCTCACCCGTGATCTATGCTTGCAAGCCGCCTTTAAGTTCTTGAACTTGTCACCTCAGATCCTCTATCTCTTGATCCTGCTCATCACAAGGTGGATCCATATGAATACCCCTGCCTCAATCTCTTCTTGCTGTCATAGGTTCTTCGAAATCACAAACCGTAGGCAGAGAACTAACAAAACCTAGTTGAAACCAACTAGTTCTAGGCTGATTTGACAAAAAAACTTAGCCTAAATATCAGCAAACCCTAGAGTTGGCTATAGAAAGCCAGCTTTGTTCTTGAAGAAAACCTAGGCTCTGATACCAATTGATGCAGAAAAATAGAGAAAAGAAGAAAAAACAGTTCAATAAACCACCAAAACAGACCAGATTTGAGTGGATCTGCCTCTCCTTGCAATGTGCGCAAAGAAATGACTCCAAACCCTAGAAAGGGCTGCTTGTTGCGGTTCATAGTTTCACACCTTGTTTTTATTGTTCATGACCCAAAAAGTATTAGAAACCCTAGCAATCTAAACCCTTTTATTACATTATAGCTTAAAAAAAGACCAAAACTACCCTAACTTAAGTGCAAATATTATAAAAATCCCCAATAAGTCCCTTCACTTAATTAAAAATATAAAAGATCCTTAAAGTAGCCCCAACTTTAATTAGAACACCAGGAATTACTAAGAGACTGTACAAATAGGAACAAACTAAAAATAACTTTTTTAAAAAGTCAGCCTTTCTCTCTTGAATCTCCTTGAGACATTGAGATGCGGATCATCATAAAGGGGGTTTTCAAAGGATGGATTGATTGGATCCAAAGGCCCATGAGAACTATCTTGACTAGTTGAATGACTCTCCGATATACATCAGTGTAAAGATTATGATTGACACTAGGAAGTAGAGTCCCTTTTGGATGGAGTCATTTCGGATCTTGTGATACTATTTATTGTATATTTTGGATCTTGTGATGCTATTTATTGTATATTTGAAACCATATTTAAATTTTAAAAGTTTATCATGTAGAACCCTAAATCTTCATTGTGCTCAAGTACCTAGAAAATGCATTTATATGCAACTAAGAGAAATAATATGTTTGCTATGTCTGCTCTTGATATTGGTTGGGTCTATGATAGAAATGGCATATTTCTTATTTTTGATGCTGTTAACTGAACAGATATAGCATATTGATTAGGGATGTTGGAGATTCTTTTTTTAGTTATGTTAGATACTCTTGATATCGGTCTATGCATAAGAGAAATGGTAACTGTTTGATGTGATTCCTTAGAGAAATCTTGTCTTGTTTGGTTTGTGTTAACTCTTCTTTTTATATGGGTTGTTCGATAAGAGACAGAAAGTTAGTAATGTTTTCTAAGATATTGATCATTAAGTTGGATATGTTTTCCAAGATATTGACCATTATGTTTAGTTATCTTGTGGAGAATGATGCACAATCTTACTTACCGGTTTTTATTTCCTCCTTTGTTTTTTTGCTGCTAGAAGATTATGCAATGCTCTCCTGCTGTTTAGTCCATATGCTGACATACTTTTAATCCATTGCCTTTTGTGCTGTTTGTTCTATATGGCATCGAAATAGCATTTTTTGAAATGTTAAAAGTATCTACAGACTGAATTTGATTTCTGGATACTACTTCATCCAGGATGACTTCTTACCAAGGACGGCGACACCCTTGGAAGATATATTCAAATCTATCTTTTGGTGAGGATAAGGATATTCTCGTTAGTATATCATTTCTAGAAGGCTATCTGTGGTTTTCATGCCTGCTTCTGCTTTATGGCATGCATGTAGCCATTTGTTAACCAAATTGCGTGAACTCTGAAAAGTTGGAGCATCCAGCTTATTAGAAGAAAATTATCTGTGTTAAGCAATTTTTTTTTTTCTTTTCCTCTTCTAAAAGTTATGGTTAAGTACTTATTGTTTTAACTTCTGATATTGCTTTGGGCAGTTTGCCATGTCTATTAGTTTTCGTTTGCTTGCGGGACACGTGTATACCAGAGAGTAGAATGCTCAGAGATCCAAGAAGGCTTTATGCTCCTGGACGGATATATCATATGGTAGAGAGAAGGTTTTGCAGGTATGGGGTGCTTAATTGTTATATGAAAGCTTGAGCGAGTTAAGGCTAGTAAGATTGACAGTAATTTCTATGTTTCCGATGTTCTGTCCATGCAGATTGTATTATGGTTTCTTGTTCAGTCTTTTGCTGGTTGCTTTTGTATTCATTGTCGGGATTTGCATTTTAGTTTTGTCTCTATGAATGCATTCATCATAGTGTCTCCGGGCAATGGGCTCCATGAGATCCTGCTTCATGACTCATTCCATTCCCCAAAGGCAACTAAGCTAGAGTAAATGCATAGATCTAGTTGCAGTTGTTACATCCTCATGCTATCAGTTTGGCAGTTTTTTTATACAAGCCTCATAGAAAAATTATTCTTGCACTGGTTTACTGTTTACCATCAGCTTACTGTAAGCTCCTAATTTAAGGGTTTTGGCGCAGACCTAGTAGCTTGGAGCTAGGGTTTAGCAAAGAAAGAGATAAGGAAGATCCAAAATTAGAGAAAGATGCAAAAACCAGATATAAAAGGAGAACCGGCTGGTCTAGGGTTTTGAATAAATTCCTTTTTATTATGATTGAGACATCTCTTGTATAAAAAAATCCTAAAGAAGATGTAATCATGGCCATCCATCTAATCTAACCATGGCCATTCATTATAAAAATACTTTAAGTGAATAAAAAGACATAAAAGACTCTGTAAATTGCTACTTATGCCCCTAAGTGAATAAAATGACTCAAGAAATAAATGAAAGACATAAAAGGACATATTTTGCGGTTCCTTTTGTAGGCTTTAAGCTTGTCTCTCTTATCTAGATACTCGAGAGCAATATTATGGGCTGCATTAGTTTTGCAGAGCGGATTTCGAATAGGTTTCTGCTTTTGTGGTTACCTCTGTTGGTGCTAGCTCAGGTGAACAGATTGGATCTGCATGTTATTTACCTTGTTGGATCTCGTGCTTGGTTTCCTCATCCTGAACACTATAGACTTCCTAGTTCCTATTACATAGCACAATCATATCTCTATTGCCAACTCCATTTTTCCTGATAAATCTGTATGTCATAAGGAAGAGACAGGAGCCCTTATAGTTTTGAGTAAGGTTAATTCCCCTTTCACTTGAATGTCATAAACACCTGCTTGAATATATGATTGGTAAATAAATTTCCCTTGAAGTTGCAGTGGGTCCTGGATACTCACAAATGTCTGTTTTTGAAGTTGCATCTAGAAATGTGCTTGGCTTGTTACCACTGTGGATTGTCTTATAGGCCTTTTTTCTAAGAAAAAAAGAAAAGAAAAAGTTCTATAGAAAGGCTCATAATGGCTTTGAGTACATTTTGCGGTACCGTAATGTAAAAGTTATTTTAAATGGAATTGCATTGGATCTTTGTAAAGTATGGATTTCTAGATAGTATAGCATGTATGTATTTGAAAAAAAAATCTTTAAAGTGGTGAGAGCTGTTAAAGTCTGATTGTCAGGTTCAAGTATCAGAAATTTATCAATGTAAAAGATGGGAAAATTCTATAGAAAAGCGGTTCTTCATTTTACTATCTATTCAATCTACCTTGGTAATGAATTGCTTGCTAATGAGCTACACATGATTTGGAGATTGTATTAAACAATATATTACAACATAGATGGAAGTAGTGAGAAAAGACATAAGGACTTATGGTCTTACTTAGGGTATGTCTCTTGTTAGAGCATAATAGCCAAACAAGATTCGTGTAGCCAGCCCAAATTAATTGGGATAAGGCTCTGATGATGATGGTTAAACAATATGTGTTGAAATCAAGGTTTTATGCTGCAAGGAAATCCGTGACGTGTTGTAAATAATCAATGATTACTTTCATTTTTTTTGTAAATTGGTCATGGTTTAACAGTTATGTTATTCCAAATCTTAGATTGATGCCATATTTTAATATTCACTCATGCAGATGTGGAAGGTATCCTCCCGAGGTAAAGACTGCTATCCCAGTAGAAGGAAGATTTGACCATATCGTTCTCTCATGCAATGCCACTTCTGATCATGGAATTATATGGATTGAAAGAGAATCCCAAAAAGCTCTAGATGTAAGAAAGATTTATCTATTTCCTCTCTACAGCTATTTAACCGAGATACTGATTGTTGATTTTTAAGTCGTGCTAGTTGTTCCTTCTTGATGTATATTATGATATGTTCTATCTGGTCTGGATAAATTAATATCTGTACTGCTTCAATTAGCTTGGCTTTCTCAACTTAACTTGATTTAGCATTATCGACATGAGAACCCATTCTTCTTGCTTGATGTGGGCTGAACACACAGTTTTTTGAGTGCAGAGTATATTGATGGGGTTAAAATTATTTTTCTTGGAACTCATAAAATGCAGTTACAGGAGGACTGATTTAAGAGAACACATGGGATGTGTAGAATTCCACCAATTTCAACCTTTTAGGGCATTTCATTGTGCATTCACTTGTCATGAGCCAACTCTGCTACGATTGTATGGATACTTGTATGTGCTTAATGTACCTGTGTCATGCTGTGTCAACACTGAATCTGATACCAAATACTCCTTGGATGCGTGTCACAGTAAAATGATAATAACTATGAAACATGTAGTAATAAAATATAACATTATGCATTATGATATGATATAGGTATGTGATGCGTTGGATGCATATTTTTATGTATAATAAGAGCTAGTGTGTGTATATATACATGTATGTATGTATTTGTGTGTCTGTGTATACTCGTGTGAGATGGATCCTCGTACCCATTGCAGTAACCTGGATTTGCTCTCCATCTGTACTTGAGCATTTTAGCAACTCTGTGCTCATATTCTGAAAATTAAGTAAAATGCCTTAAAATATGTTTGAAATGAAAGTAAACAAGTTAAATGCCCCCCTCTTTGATGAGAAGATGTAATAGATACTATGTATCTAGCTAGGTTTTACTTTTTCCTTTTCTCTTGCCCTCCATTTTTTCTTGGAACATTCTGTTTCTAACTTTTACTCTTCCAACTTTGTTTCCTCCTCAAGTTCTTCAATTTGATTTGGAGCACTAATCCCAGAATTTGCTTATCAAGAATGATAAACCTAATGCCATGGAAATGTGAAACACATGCCACTTTATTTGTGATTCAATGATAGTGTAGACTTTTGTTTAAGCCTTCAGTATTTAACGTGCGATTACCTCATGCTTGTATTTTGATATATAAATGTCATTTCTCCTATACTTACATATAAAAAAGTATATGTATACGATGCCCAAAATTGATATATCCTTCTGACATTTATGAATGCTTTGATTTTGGTTGCCCTTCTTTCTCCACTAGGACTTTGATAAGGGTCATATGGAACTCCATAGTCGATTGGAGCATCATTGTCCAATGAAACCATGTATCCACTCTTTTTCTATCTTTTGTCGTCACTATCATTTCACCGGGCATTTATGGCCACAATGGACTATAGTTTTCTATAATTCATTGAAATTGTAGTGTTTGATTTCCAATTTTCACTTCAGGCAACTTATTCGTTTACACCTTATAGCTGATGACGGAGCGTATGACAAAGACAACTGCTCCTCCTCCGCAGAGAATCGAGAGGCTCCAGACCATTGAGAAAGAGCACAAGGATGCCCTTGAGAGAGCCGTTAGCCTAAATGTGCCTCATGCCATTTCCCCTATGGAGGATCAAGACAATAACATGGAAACCATGACTTCTCAAACTGATGGAGAAACCTCATCTCGAAGTGGACCCAAAAGAACAAATTGGGATGAAGTGGTCCAAAAGCTTTTTCAAAAAGACAAGTCAGGGAAACTTAGCTTGAAGAAAGATATCGTAATTGACGAATGATCATTGTCATTGTCATCATCTTCATCATCATCAAGGCTACCATCTCATTGTTATATCAGTAGAAGTTTCATCATGATCAGCTACACTTTTGGGGGGCTACGGGATGTTGGTATTATGTTTATATTCTTTGTGGTATTATGTTTATATTCTTTGTAGAGCGCAGACTGAATGTTGTGATGCATGCTATTGCGTGAAGCTGCACATGATAGTGGAGACATGGCATGTACATATAATGTGTTATATGAAGCCTTGGGACATACAAGCGGGGGTACATTTTTCACTGATACCGTGTTTTGTAAATGGGGTGTGCAGTTATTCTAACGTTCTGTGCTGCACTGATTCGATTTGATGATTTATATGTATTCCTTGTGGGTGACAAGGAGATAGAACTTGTGTGCAAGGTTTTGATTTGATAAAGCTTGTGAGAGAGAGGTGTTTCGTTATGCCAAGATAGGGGTGAGAGAGAGAGAAGGGGGGGGGGGCATATGTAATGCAAAAACAGAGAGAAAGAGCGAGGGAGGGAGGGTTAGTTTTCTAGTTTTCTTACATGTGGAGGGGATCGAATGTTGTGGGCCATTAATGGTTAATTATAGCAGGAAGATTGTGGGGGATGGAAGCGTAATTGTTGTGGGTCATTAATTGTTAATTATAGCAGGATAATTGTAGGGAATGGGATGAAAGGATAGGTTCCTCCTTTCCTTGAAATGGGATGACGACTTTCCTGGTTCTCATGCTTTGGCTTTACTCAAACCTACATCTGATCACCGCCCCATGATTTTGGATACCTATTATGTCCCAAGAGGTCTTAGACCATTTCGTTTTGAACTATCTTGGCTGGAGGTCTTAAACCGTTTCGTTTTGAACTCTCTTGGTTGAAAGAAGCGTCCTTGGCATCTCTCATCCCCCTGTGGTGGGACTCTTACTCCCCTTTGGTTTCGGGTAGGGTAGGATACATTTTGCAAACTAAAATCCTCCTCAAGGCATCTCTCAAACTTGGAGTAGAACCAATGTTGTTAGATTCGTTTTGGAGTATTTTTCAGTTTGGTGAGAACAATGAATTAATTTGGTGTTTCGGCCGATTTGGAGAAAGACCTCGGACTTTTTTTTTTAATTTAGTATAAATAAGGTAGATGTTTATATATAAAATATATACAAATAATAGGATGTATACATTTATATAGTTATTTATTTGCTGGCCGAAGCATACCCGAAATATACCCGAAGCGGTCTGAATTTGACCGAAGCAGCTCGAAGCTATTTGAATCTAATTGAAGCTATTCGAATCTCACCTAAGAGGCAATATCACGCTTCGCTTCTCTTCGATTTATACTTAGAATCCAAAAGTTTTGGCCGCAACAAAGAGAATTTGATAACATTGAGTAGAACTATCGCAGGTAATTTCTCTTATATCAAGTCCACCTTTCTTGCTTCCATCCAAGCATTAGACCTTCCGGAGTAATCCCGCACCTATCGACCTCAGAAGCAAACCTTAGAGCACTTCACAAGTTTGAGTATTTCTCCACCCTCAAAAACAAAAAATAAAGGATTTATTGGTTTAAGAGGTTCAAGGAAAAATAGTTACACCATGGGGATAACAATATAGGATTGTTCCACAGAATCGCAAATTACCGATGTCGAGATAACTCCATATCCAATATTAAGGATGGTAATAGGATTTTGGACCAACCATCCGAAATTTTTCCCAAAATTTAAATGGACCAAAAAACCCCCGAAATGATTTCAAGGATATTTTGGCCAATTCCAATTTTTTGAATAATTTTTTTGAATACTTTTATTAGGTGCTCATTGATAAAAAGAGTGGACGTTCCAAATTTCAAGTAATTTGGATTTGTCGAGAAAAAAACTAAAATTCAAATATGAAATGCAATCGTGTCTATCAGATCGACCCAAATTGAATCTGGGTTGTTGGGCTCATATTATTCCATTAGCGGGCTTACGTCAGCCTTTTCAATATATATATATATATATATATATATATATGATGATGATGATGAGAGAAATTCT